CAGCCACTTCTTCTCTCTTCCCCCACCCTCCATCTTCCCTGGCCAGCTCTCTGGCCCCAACCTCGCACCTCCCAGCAGCCCTGCTTCCACCGGCCCCCCAATCTCCCCAGCCTGCCCCGATTCCCCCATCCAGTGCTGCTTCCAGTGGCCAGCTCTCCCCTCCTCACTCCAGGATCCTCTGGTACCTGCACCTTCCCTTAGCCCTGCCCCCTCCTCGTGCCTCCCCCTTTCCTTACTGCCCCTGCCCCCTTTGCCCTCTCTTTCCCAGATACCCACCCCCTCAGCACTCTCTTCCCCATCCCCTCCTGCCCCTCTGTGCCCTCACACATGACTTGCTCCATCCCCACCTCTCTCATGCCCACTCCTTCTTTCAAGCCTTCTCCCAGCACCTCCTCCTCCAGCCCCCAATGCCCTTCCCCTCTCCTCTCCTCTCCTCTCCCAGCATCACCCTGTCCCCACTCCCACTGACACCTCCCCTCCTAACCTTTCCCTTATTGTCTGCGCTTGGCCCCCTGCCATTTGTTTCTCTCTCCTGCACCCTGTCCCTTGGTGCCTTCCCCTCCCAAGCCCCTTCTCCTTCCACTCCTCCCCCTCCGCGCAAGCCTGCCGCCGCCGCCTCCTCCTCGCCTCCACCCAAGCCCATTCCCTACCTTCTGCCTTCCACATTGCGGGGCCGCAGGCTGCCGGAGCTAGTGTGGCCCCGCCACGTGCCTCCGAAGACTTTTAAAATCTCGGGCCGTGACGTCACGACAAGCCCGGGTGTCCTCCCCGCCCACTGCTACGCCGCACATGGGCAGCAGCAGGCAGTGAGGAGGAGCCGCGTACGGCAGGGACGCTCTGGCGGCGGGGTGAGAGGACACGCGGGAGACCTGCGCCCGTGCCAGGCAGAGCCGAGGGAGAGACCCAGCTCCACATATTGGTGGAGCAGGGCCCTTGGCTCTGTAACTCGCCGGCACTTCCGGGTTCAGGGGCGCAGGACCTGAATCAGCCTAAGGCCAGTCCTGCCGACAGCCACCAGGCATGCTGAGGTCTGGTATTTTTTTCCCGCGTCCCGGTATCGGGCCGCGGCCCATAATTTGGGAAATGCTGACTTAAGGTATGTCTACACTAGCCCCCTCGTTTGAACTAGGGAGGCTAATGTAGGCATTCTAAGTTGCAAATCAAGCCCGGGATTTAAATATTCCGTGCTTGATTTGCATCTTCCTGGCCAGTCGCCATTTTTGAAATTTACAAGTCCGGACTAACTGCCTGCATCTTCATGCGGCAGAGACCCAGTATTTCGAATAAAAGCCCCTAAATCGAACTACCTGTTAAACCTCCTGCAAGAAGGAGCTTATAGTTTGAGCTACTCTTTGGTGACTGATACATACTTGTTTCCATATCTAACATTAAAATAGTATTGTAAAGGATAACTGAAAAAGATAAATATTCTTTCCTCTTCTGTATGCTGTTTCTTCTTCTTAATTCATTCAAAGTATATTTTAACACAATGTTATTTTTATATGAAATGACATGTAATGTTTGTGCCTTGTTTTTTGGTTTTGATTTTTAACAGGAAGTCCGTAAAGTGAATGAGAGTATCAAGTATAATCACCCGTTGAGAACATGTGTTGATACAATATTGAAAAAGGTACTTAACGAATGATACCGTTTTAGAGATTCTTGTTTTTTATACGTTCCTTAATACACCAAAACCTGACTTTTTAGCCCTTTTAAGACTCTTGTCCAATTTTACAATATCTTTTCTTGTGCCTTATTTTGTTTTTATTCAAAATTTTTGAAAGCTTTTGTTCTTAAAAGCTCTGTTGAATACCAGCAATCCTAATTCTGTTGATAGGAAATGTGAAATTATTAAATTGGGATTCTGTTCACAGTATTAAGACTTTTCTAGAATATGGAAAGCAAGCATATAGCATTTTTGAACATCATATAATTTTAAAAATATATTTATTATCTTGATTCTCTGCTTACCTAACAGTTATATTTTCTTGTTTATGAGTGAACCTCTCTATGCAATGACGACTGTGTAGTATGGTGTATAATTGCTTGTGTTCTATAAATATAGTTTGAGCTATTCTGTGGTGACTGATACGTATTTGTTTCCATATCTAATACTAAAATAGTATTGTAAAGAATAACTTAAAAATATTATTTCCTCTTCTGTATGCTGTTTTCCTGTTTTGAATGTATTCAAACAAACTTGACTAAAGTATATTTTAACAAGATACTATTTTTATATATTCTTAGAACATGATCATTTAAATACAGAGAAATGCTGGCTTCACTTTTTACAAGTGAATCTTTTGCAGTGTTGGAGGGGAAATATGTAGAATATTTTTAGTGAAATGCATTTTAGTTGCATCCACTGTCTAAAAATTATTTTAATGTTTTAATACAAGAGCTTTTTCTACTGGTAATTTATGTTCTGCTTCCATAAATAAACTACTTCAATTATTTTCCTTTTCCTATCAGTGTCCTACTGAATACCAAGAAAGAATGGGTAGGAACATGGATGACTATGAAGATTTTGATGACAGGCAAAACAACTATCCCAGTGAGAAAAGTCTGGAGAAACTTCACAAACAGGTAATTCAATAAAGTTCTGTTGCAGCATCACTTCTCTTGCTAACATTCACTTAAGACTGTTGTTTGCTCTAAAATAGTTAACATTTAAAATAACCTGACATCCTTAAATTGCATATTTTTTTTATTCCACTCATAAAACCATACCTGTTTGTTCTCTGTCTGACAGTGGAACAAAATATATGTTAATATGTATGAAATTCAGAAAAAATATCTAGCGGTAGAAAAACAGGGATTCCATTATAAGTTGTATAATACAGGCAGACCCCGGGTTATGTCAATCCGACTTAAGTCGGACCCCTAGTTACGAACGGGGGGGGGAGGCGCAGCTAGTGCGGGGGGCGCTTCTCCCCAGCAGACCAGGGAGACGCGGAGCTAGCGCGCCTCCCCCTCCCCCAGCAGACCAGGCGTCCTCCGTGGCGAGAAAAGCCGCTCTGCTTCTCCCTGGTCTGCTGGGGGGGGGGCTAGCTTTGCGTCTCCCTGGTCTGCTGGGGGGAAGCAGCTAGTGCGGGGTTGACTCAGGGAGGGGCCCCGCAGCGCCGCACCTCGGCGCTGCGGGGACCAACCTGGCAGCACCCCAGCTTCTCTACCCCAGGTGTCCCCAAGTCAGCTGCTGCTGAAACTGATCAGTGGCTGATTCCAGGAAGCCCGGAGCAAAGCAGCTCTGCCTTGGGCTTCCTGTAGTCAGCCGCTGGTCAGTTTCAGCAGCGGCTGAATCGGGGACACCTGGGGTACAATATGTACCAGTTCTGACTTACGTACAAATTCAACTTAAGAACAAACCTACAATCCCTATCTTGTACGTAACCCGGGGACTGCCTGTATTGTAAATGGACGTGCTGTATTGGAACATAAGAATAACCATACTGGGTCAGACCAAAGGTCTGTCTAACCCAGTATCTTGTCTTCCAATAGTGGCTAATGCCAGGTGCACCAGAGGGAATGAAGAGAACAGGTAATCATCAAGTTGCCCGTTCCCCGCATCTCACAAACAGAGGCAAGGGACACAATTCCTGCCCATCCTGGCTAATAGCCATTGATGGACCTATCCTTCATGAACTTATCTAGTTCTTTTTTTGAACTCTGTTATAGTTGGACTTCACAACATCCTCTGGCAAAGAGTTCCACAGGTTGACTCTGCGTTGTCAGTCTGAAACAGAAATTGTAGTGAAAGGGCAAGAAATGAATTGTGGAGAAAGAAAATAGTGGGGTGGGGGCAATACTCAGTTTTTAAGTACTCCTTTCACATCTCTTTTTATAAATAGAACTAAAAAATAGGCAGAAGTCACCTTTCTATCAGTTACTCTTTTTCAGCTTCAGCAGCTAGTCAAAGTTCAAGGCCTTATAAGTTATTTTGGTTGGGAGTAAAAATTGATGATGGAATAATCTTCAGTGCAATCTTGTCTGTTTACAAGGAATGTACAAAATCCTTCTGTTCCAAATGCAGAGAAATTAAAAGCAAAAGTGGTAGTTCTTCTTCGAGTAGTGTCCCCGTGGGTGCTCCACTGTAGGGTGAAGGGTCGCCCTGAGCCTCAGATCGGAGCTTTCTATAGCAGTTTCCCCTGTTGAGTCATGCATGCCCAGGAGGCGTCTCGAGCCCTTGCCGCCTCCTGAGGAGTGTGACTCATCCCCCTCCCTTTCAGTTCCTCTTCAACCGCCCTTGCCTGCGGACGGAGCAAACAGGAGCTCCCTGTCAGACTCTCTGACCCTGTCAGACTCTCTGACTACCTTTTTTCTCCCTAGTTTAGTTATAGTTCTTTCCCCTGATATCCAAGTTACCTTCCCTGTTTCTTTTTAAAAGAAGAAAAAGAATTTTTAGTAATAAGGGAAATACACTTACCTAACCCCCTCCCCCACCCCCGGGGGGGCTTGAATCACCTCAGACCGGGTCTCAGAGATACCGGAGTTTTCACAGCTCTTTAACACAGAGAAGAAAGAACAGATTTAAAAAAAAAAAAAAAGAAAGAAACCAACACGGACTGACGACAACAGCAGGAACACTAAAATAAATACAAAAAAAAAAAAAAAAAGCTTAAAGAGGAGAGAACCGGACATGTCCGCCTCCTCAGGCTTTAAGAAGTGCGACCAATGCCGGGACCCTATGCCGGCTTCGGATGGTCATTCAAAATGCATTCGCTGTTTGGGGGAATCTCACTCTCCCCACAGCTGCACTCATTGTAATTCCCTCACGGCGAGAGCCAGGAAAGACCGTGAGCTCCGCCTAAGAATGATCCTATTCGAAAAAGCCTTGCAGCCCGCAGAACAGCCGGGAACGCGCCAAGAGCCTCCCCCTCTCTCCAGAACCGAGCTGAGGGGTAGAGCCTCACCATCCCGCTCCTTATCAGCCTCCTCCTCTCCTAAACATGGAGTAGAGCCCCGCCGCGGCGGGGCCCCCCCCGCCACAAAGGCTTCGGGGCGATCCTCCCACTCCGCGCCGGCATCGGGGCACGCCACTGCTGAGCGGCCCCGGGAGCGTTTAAAACAGCCGGCACGGCAAGAAAAGCCGGCGCCGAAGCAAA